TTTTAAGGAGAATCAATTCTGCCTTGAAGAAGATAAGGAAGAAGTGAAGTCATCTACTTATTGCACAGAACCTGCCCAGGAGATGCAACAACAGCAAACTGCACTTACAATTCCTCCTGGAGTGGTTAGTCAGATCATTGCTAGGAAGCAAGAAAGTAGCCTATGCTGGTTTAATCCATAATGAAAGAAAATTAAGTCTCTAAGATTTCAACAGCTAGTCGAGTGGCCACAGAGTCAAGATCTTCAATTATGCAAAGAAGCAGTATTGGATTTCAAAGTAAATTCAATACTATTGAAGCTTCAGTTCCACACCTGCCCAGGCAGAGGCATGTTTTCTTCAACAATTCCTTGCCATCATGTACAGAGAACATCAACATGACCTTGACGTGTTTAGAGAAATATTTCAATCCTCAGAGAAAGGCCCATCAGAAGAAATACAGCAATAACTAATAAGATCAATCGAAAGAGAAAGAGTTCTTTCCATCCAAGTGGATCGTGTGAATATTCCACATGTATAAATTGTTGATCTGTATCGATGGTAGCTGGAGGCTGCAAGAGAAACCCATCGGTAAGCCGAAGAAACATTAAAAATCTTGGTCAAACAAAGCCTATAAGATCAAATCATCAAGCTCTTGGAAATGTAGAATTCTTTTGCAAAGTTTTAAGTTAAATGTAGGAACAAACTGGAACAGTTAGAACTCAACAGAGTTAATATATATTAACTATTTCAATATGATCGCAAAATCAAATGTTCAGCTGTTAGCAGTCAAATCAAGCCTTACAGGTTGAAAATGAGAAACTTGCAGAAGATTTGCAAAGCTCTTGCACTCACATAACTAGTGTTTTCACCCAGGTGACGCAGCAAAAAAATGCAGGAAAAACCTTTTTTTGTTACAGAAATGTTCAGAACCACAAGATCACAATGAATGTCCAGGTGAAAAAAAGACCTCTCCACTACAGTTAATAAGCAATTATCTAGTCTTTCAAAAAGAAACATTGGAGAGAAAGAACAAGTATCTTTATAAATGCCTGAAATTCCCTGCAGAAGGAAGTTGTTCTTTCAAATGGCTTCTAAAATCAGAATACTATACAAGAGTTTCCTGTTTGGATATCCTCACCATAGAGCCCCCCAAGGATGCGTTCTCAGCCCCTTACTGTACTCCCTGGACATCCACAACTGTATAGCCAAATTCCAAATGAATGCCATCTACAAGTTTGCTGATGCCACCACCGTGGTAGGATGGGTATCAAACAATGATGAGTCAGAATACAGACAGGTGATAGAGGGCTTGGTGTTGTGGTGCAATGATAACAACCTCTCTCTCAATGTCGACAAAACAAAAGAACTGATCATTGATTTTGGGAAGAAAGGAGGAAGGCATGCCCCTATCTACATCAACAGAGCAGAGGTGGAGACGACCAAAAGTGTCAAGTTCCTGCAATAATCTTACAATAGCCGACAACCTGTCCTGGACTCCCTACGTAGATGCGACGGTCAAGAAGGAACAACAACATCTCTTCTTCCTCGTGCAGCTCAGGAAATTTGGCATGTCCATAAGGACCCTCACCAACGTTTATAGATGCACCATAGAAAGCATTCTATCTAGGGGCATTAAGGCCTGGTTTGGCAACTGCTGTGCTCAGGGCCGTAAGAAGCTACACAAGGTTGTGTGCATGGCCCAGATCATCACGGAAGCCAACCTCCCATCTACGGACTCCATTTACACTTCTCATAGCCGCGGAAAGGCTGCCAACATCATCAAAGACCCCTCCCACCCCAATAATGCTCTTTTCCAACCTCTTCTGTTAGGCAGAAGATACAGAAGCTTGAACACTCACAGCAGCAGGTTCAAGAACAGCTTCCTCCCTGCCATTTTTAGACTGAAAAATGGACTCTCTAACTTCAAATAATGCTGATCTTGTTTTGCACACATCCTATGCAGTCATAGCTTTGTATGCCTCGCTGTGTCTAAGCACTCAAGAACTGTATGTCCTTGTTTGCTATGATCTGCTTGTTCTGCTCACAAAACAAAGCTTTTAACTGTGTTTTTTAACCAACTACAATAAATCAAATCAAAATCCAATATTTTCTGTTATTCAGATGATGGAGTCCTACATTGTCAATGAGATCCTGAGATGTCTTGACTGCGTTTCAGTGCCTCAAGATGCAAATGTCAAAGTGATATTCTACGTCCAGAAAATTACATTAGAAGTGATGGAGAAGTCCTCATTTCTTTGCCTACTGCAGAACACTCCTTATCCTCCTTTCAGCTATTACATTCCTCCCTTGAACAGAAAGCAATGTCGGTAGAAAGGAGAGTGAGAATTTCACTTTCTTGTCTTCCTTTTCAAGAAGCTGTGACCAGGCTAGTCCTGGAGTCTTCTCCTTCAAGTCTGTGTTTCCTTGATTGGTCTTCATTGGTGCTACGTTTAAATCTTTGTGTTGGTCAGACCCCAAAGATTAACCATCATCAACCAATTGTTTCTCCAACTGCCTCTCAGATGGGTTCTGAAAGAAGGTGAGAAGAGACAGATTCAGCAGAAAGGGTTCTTTGTAGCACTGCTTGTGGGCCAAGAGAAACAGCAGTGCTGCCCTGTGATCCACCAGGCTTACCTCCATATAATTGGACGCCTGTGGTATCTCAACTCTTATGTCAATGCCTCCACATTGCCCTATCTCCATGCTGATTACCACTATTTCATTCGCCAACTGTCTTCCCATTAATGAGCCAGATGGACTGTCCATCTGCTGGGACCAGGAAAGGGAATCAGGTTCGATTCCTGGGCTGCGCTGAATTGGGGCAAGGTCAGTATTTGCACTGCCGAACTTTCAGCCCCATGTGGAAAGAAAGATCAATGAGAATTCCTGCTTCCTGATCATTGTTCATTGCCTCGTTCTAGAATCCCCACTTTTCGCAGCATTGCATGAAAATAGGGTCAGGATTGACAGGTCTATAACATCCTGGACTACATTCCCAAAATGGGAAGAAGGTGGTTTCCTCCCTGTCAATGGGCCAGTATCCCACTGAGAGTTGGTGCCTTCAGGTGTAGGGAAGGAGGTGTGAAGTAAACTAAACTAGGCAGGATGTGGTTTAAATACGTAATTCTTCTCATTTCCCAATGCCAGTAACATAACTGAATAGGGAGCAGCTTCTTTAATTGCCCATAACACATTGAGAACAGTTATGCACTTCCTACTGCACTGGCCACTTGGATTTACAGCTGTTCTGTAAAGCACAGCTCATTAAGGGCCAGCTATCTCATGATATTTTCATAACCACAGATACTCTGGGATTTGCGCTAAGGGATGATCTCTTCATGAGGAATTCAGGTGCCCTGATTGCCTGTATGCAAATTCTTTGTTTCCAAGAGCCTTTTCTTTGATGCAGTTGACCTGAGTACCTGGGAGTCGGATAACCTCTGCCTATTGAGAAATAAGTGGAATATTGTACACAGTTTCACTTGATAAGCTATTATTTGTTTTCTTGTTTCCATGCAGTGATTTGAGAGACAATCTTCACACTGTCCCTGTGAAAGACTTTGTACTCTGCAGAAGAAACTATTATTTCTTGCAACAACCTCCATCAGCTGCTTGTTCAAATACAGCCTCTTGAAAGAAAGAGACTTGTATTAATGTAATGCCTTTTACCACCTCAGGAGCTTTATAGCCAATGAGGTACGTTGTTCTAAGATGTGAAACATGGCAGATAATCAGTACCCAGCAAGATCCCATAAACAGAAGTTACAGTGAACATAAGAGAATAATAAACAAGAGCAAGTGTAGGCCATTCAGCCCCTCAAGCCTGTCTCAGCATTCAGTAAGATCATGACTGATCTACCCCAAGTCTTAACTCCTCTTTTATGCCATCTCATTAAAGACCTAAGCTCCCAGATAACTCGAAAATCTCTGCTTCATCTTTAGCAACTTTCAGTGATCTAGCCTCCACAACTCTCTGCGGTGGAGAATTCCAGACATTCTCCATGATGAGTGGGTTATCCTCTTTTGTGATGTGGTTGAGCACTAAGGCACTGGTCACGCTGTACAAAGCTCGCCTGCTTTTCTTCAAAATAGTACCATTGAATACTTTTACATCCAACTGATAGGGCAAATGGTATCTTAACTTAATGCTTCCTCTAAAAGATAGTACTATCGATGGGACAGCACTCTGTCCATGCACCACAGTGGAGGGACAGACAGATTTGTTCACAAGTCTCTGCGAGGCAAGGGCTGTGCGGAACTGGGAGGAAAATGGAGTGGAAGCCAAGATCTGATTGGACAGGCATCTTATTGGGCAGTGGAGCAGGTTCAAGAGGCCAAATAGCAAGGTGTAGAGCTGGATGAACACAGCAGGCCAAGCAGCATCAGAGGAACAGGAAGGCTGACGTTTCGGGCCTAGACCCTTCTTGGCCTGCTGTGTTCATCCAGCTCTACACCTTGCTATCTCAGATTCTCCAGCATCTGCAGTTCCTACTATCTCAAGAGGCCAAATGGTTGGTTAGGTTTCCTTTTCTCATGTTCTTCTTGAACACATGACCCTCTGAATGATGGATTTTATGAGATTTTGGATCCTTCATTCCATCCACTTTGACTAAGCTATGTTTCCAAACCAGCGTTACGGCTACTTTTGTTGTAACTAACCTCCGCCCCATTCCTCTGTGACAGTTCTGTTAATATCCAGTGCAATATCATGGACCATTAATTTAATCTGCTGCCTACTGCTCACTGCTGGATGTAGATAGTAGCATGGCTAGATGCCTAATGCTTAGCAAGAGTTTGTGATGACAGTTTGAAGCCGAGAGATTCGTTCATACCTTCGCATTGGAATTTTTAACCAGTACCTAACCAGTTCATTATAAAGCATGACTACATCTTGGGGAAATGAGCAAATGTCAGTGCTGATTGCCAATTCTGGGACCTCAAGGTTTCCGGTTCAGGGCTTTGTTTAATGTGATGGATGGTTTTCAAGCTATGATTCTGAGATGTTTATTTCTAACCTTACCTGGGAGTGAACTCCAGAAGGATCCAAGAATTTGGAACAAATGTGACAAAGATGGAAAACAATCTTGATAGTCTCAAATCAGTTCCTCTCGAATCGAGGAAAGAACACGCAGACTTGTCACTTGCTCCAGCAGCTTGTTTCTGTAATCAGGAAACACAAGGACATTCTTTTGAATAAATGCATGAGGAAATCTGGAATGAGAAAAGGCCATTCGGCTATGAAGCCATTCCCCATTCAGAATATGTGTTTGATTTTCTCCCAAAGTGGTTTTCAAGCAAGCATAGTGTTGTATTACTTCAAGGCCAATATCTTTAAGATAGCCACACAGCATCATGACATGTAACATTCCAGTATTAAAGTACGTACTTCACCTTCAGTCACTTTTTCTGTGTCACAGTGGCAGTGTAATCAGTCAATTACATCTGTGTGCTGGACAGTAACATCAGTAAGCACAGAACCTAGACTGTCATAACAGAAACTCAGGAAATAGTGTTGTAAACAAATTTCAAGATATCTGACTGAACAGAACCTGATCCTCTGTGTTATATGTTACTTGGGATAAAACAAAGAAAACTACAAATAGCATCACAGGGGTCTATGTTGCAGGCCTGGAGCGATGTTTAGCTACTGGGCCTCCTTTCCTTGTCTACTTGCCTTCCATTGTGGACAACAGGAGAGCACAGAGCATCAGTAGCTTGATGGTGAAGAGTGGGTGACCATCGGCAATTTGCCTTTGTGCATGGAGGTCTTGCACAAGGGAAAGGCAGGAATTGAGCCTGTTTGATGGACCAACTAGCCTGTTAAATGCTGAATTCTTCCAAACATACATCAGCTAATTCCACAACTAACCAAAATGCATTGTTTTTGTTTTATCACCTGTGCCCCCACCCAAGGAGGAAGAACTATTTTCTTACCTCAATTCCTCAAGGTGAAAGCATAACAAGACATGTGAGAGCCCTTTATTACTCTAGAATCACTTGCCTTTCCTTGCTTTGTCACCACTATCGCGCATTGCGGGTGATTCAAAGCCACTTTACTACTAAATTGACTCGTTACCCCATGGTTTTGCATTTTGCAATGTTAAGTAACAGCAACCTGGGTGATATTTTAAAAATGAAAAAAAAATGTGCTGATATGTTTGGTAGAAGAATTATTGGGCGTGGAGTTGGAAGGAGAGCAGGAGGAGGAGAGAATGAACAACAAAATTAATTGGTACAAGTGAAATCTGTGGCCAAATTAAAAATTCTGCAGAACTGGCTTGAGAACCATTTTACACTGCAGTCAGTAAGTGGGTGAGAAATGCAGAGAATTAAAAACAGGGCAGCAGGGTTAGACGTGATAGATTAGGGAGCAGTTAAAAGGAGTAATACACTCGATTGATGCCCTTTAGAAGGTAATTAAATAGTGATGCTGACCTCCAAAAGGCTCTTGAATGTTTGCATTATTATTAAACTAACTGATTTGCATATCACGAAAATAAATTCCTCCTTTTGGATATTTTGGATAATATTTGCTCCTCTCTCACTTAGCCTACGGACCTATGAAAGATATTAGTCTGAACTGCAGCAATGTCATTCAGTACTTTGTTGATTTCTGTAGTTTATCTAATCTAACCCCCGTGTCCTGCTTTTAATTCTCTGCATTTCTCTTTGTGACACTTGCTGACTGACTGCCATCTAAAGAAATTCCCAGGCCAAAACCTGCAGAATCTGGAACAGGGCCAGAAATTTCATTTTGTGAAAAATGGTGCTGTCCTTTTAATTCCCTACCACCTACCAGCACCAAGCCCCAACCTCCCCAACAGCGTCTCAACTCATTATTGCTTCAAATTCAGGTTTTCAAAGTGAGGTTTTCCCTTGAGAGCCTGTTAGAGGATTCAGGGAGAGGGATGGGGCTTGCAAAATCAAGTCTCTGTACATTCAATATTTGTTGATGCTGTTTGCCACAGTAGCACATTTTTATTTGAATAGTTTTTGAAAATAATATATCCCCTGGAGTGTGAGTATTTGAGGTGGGTGGGGGAATCCGCACTATTATGTGGGGATTCTTGATAGCTGTGCCATTATTTTCAGGGGTGCATGGGATTTGCTAATATTTGCACAAATTGCACACACACAACCACATTCACCATCCATTAACCTCTTACACAGCGGTTAATTCTGATGCTGTCCTCGTTTTCCTTGCCTGCTCTAATACTGCTTGTCATTTATGCAAGCGACAATCCTCATTGGCATTACTGATTTGTATTTTACTCAACTACTTAGTCGGGAAATCGTTCTGGAGTCTCACTATTACTTTGAGGCGAAGTGCTATGTGGGAATTGTGAAAGGGTTCCAGAGGTTAGGTGAAAAGGTCGTTGACAAATGGAATAGAATGGCAGAGAAACACAGAGGTAAATAAATGATTGTTTCTTGTTGTGGCACGTAGCAAGATAGAGCAGGGATTATCAGGCAGAATCAGTTTCAGATAAGCCAATTCTAAAAGGTCATAGCAGTGACATGAGCAGGTTAACACATCTTATGTGTGGCAGTGCCAACTCCCGTGATGTCTTATCAACAACCATACTTTGCATTTATGTAGCACCTCCAACATAGAAATGTGTCCCAAGGCACTTCACAGTCCATTCACGTTTGACACCAAACCCACAGTAAAATCTCACTTTGACATTCAACTCTCCTGACCTCCTTGCCCTCATGTTGTCATTTCTTCAATGTCACTGGGTCAATATCCTGTTTCTCTCTCCCTAACAGCAGTGTGTATGTCAATGCCACATGCACTGCTGAATTTCAAGATGGTGGCCTAACACCTCCTCATCATAATTAGGGATAGGTCATAAATATTGACAGCAAGGAGGACATCTCAAGGTATGTGACCGAAAGCTTGGGCAGAGGTCTTGTGTCAAGAAGTGTCTTAAAGGATAAGGGATTGATAGAGTGGCAAAGAGCATTAAGAAGGAAATTCGACAGTATACAGCCTAGGCATTAAAGGCCAGCAGGGGAGTGATGAAATTTGGAATGCACAAGACAACAGACTTGGAGAAACACAGATGGTTGTAGGGCTGGAGTCGTTCACTGACATAGGGAAGGAGATGTCTTGGAGGGATTTGAAAACAGTGATCAGAATTTTAAAACTGAGGCATTGTTAGACTGGTAGCCAATGTAGATCAGGTTCTGGATGATGGGATGGCTGGGTTATAGGGTCATTCAATCCAAGTTGGGGAGGGTGAAACGGGCAACGTTTGTACAACTGCAGCGAGATTTATTTATTCCTGGATGTCTCAAAGTGCTTTACAGCCAATGAACTGCTTAAGAAGCGGCAGCCAATTTGCACAGAGTAAGATCCCACTCTTAGCAATGGGATGAATGACCAGCTGGTTATTTTTATGATGTTGACTGAGGGTGAAATATTGAGTAGGACTAGGTTCTTCTTCAAGATATTGCCATGAGTTCTTTTACACCCACCTGAGAAAGGAAACAATTCTGAAGTTTTAACTTCTCATCTGACAGGGTGTCGCTCCCACAAAAACTGCTCTGGAGTGTCATGTACCTTCAAGGACACAAGCGATAGCAACTGAGCTACAACTGACACACGAAGAAGAGTGATACGACAGACTAGAACAGGGATTGCAGCAGGTTCAAGAAGGCAGCTCACCATCATCTTCTTGAGGGCAACTAGAGACAGGCGGTAAATGCTGACCCAGCCAGCAACCCTGCGTCCCACAAGTGAATAAAAAATAAATTTAAATGGAGACTGCACTGCTCATGCTATGGAGGAGGAAGGGCCAACATACAAGAACCTAGAATCCATGGAAGAGAGTGCTAATGGGTCACAGGGTTGTAAGAAAGAGACAAAGAGACAAGTCCATCTGGGAATACTTACGTGGTACTGGCTTGATTTAATTGTTTATGCTTAAACATCCAGCCCATGTGAAGTTCTGTCCAGGATGGTTAAAGATGACATTTACGCTAGGGTTTTTGCAGCTTACAGCCACACATTTACACACTGCATCCTGTACTAAGGCTCATTACTCTGCTTAGTTTTAGCTTCTCCATTTGTCTTTAATATATTATTGTGTAGCATGTGCAGTGCTTGCTTCACGCTTATTGATCACAATGAAACTGATCTTGGCAAAAAAAAGTGATTTGCTAAGGGTGAACTATTCTCAGTAAAATCCAAGGTTTTCAAATAAATCAGTGAGAGAGAAATGACAAGAAATAAGCTGTGCCCAATAAATGACAGAGCTAATGATAATGCCGATGCATGGTGACTCTTTGAGAGCTCTCTACAGCAGGTCTTATTCAATGGAGCTGAGGTGGAGATGGTTGAAAGCATCAAGTTCCTAGGAGTGCTGATCTCCATCAATCTGTCCTGGACCACTCACATTGATGCGAAGGTCAAGAAAGCATGATAAACCTCTACTTCCTCAGGAGGCTAAGGAAATTCATCACGTCCATTAAGATGCTTATCAATTTTTATAGATGCGCCATAGAAAAAAATTCTATCTGGACGCATCATGGCTTGATACAGCAACTGCTCTGCCCAGGACCATAAGAAATTACAGTGTTGTGAACTCAGCCCAGTCCATCAAGCAAGACAACATTCCATCCCTTGACTCCATCTATACTTTCTGCCGCCTCAGAAAAGTTATAACCTCTTCCAACCTCTTCCACCGTGCAGAAGATAGAAAAAGCTTGAACACACAGACTCAAGGACAACTTCTTTTTCTGAGTTATTAGACTTCTGGGTGGACCTCTCAAATTTCAAATTTAATGTTGACCTCACTCTGTGTGCATCTTCTCTGCAGCTATAACATTGTATATCTTGCTCTGCCCTATTACCCTAATGCACTTTGGTTGTTATGATCAGCCTGTACTATGCACAAAACAAAACTTTACACTGCACCTAGGTACATGTGACAATAATAAATGAAAAACAGAAAGAAGACACACAACCAGTGTGGTAAGCAAAGAAAGGGTTGCCTTTATATAGAGTGCCTTTCGTTCTACTTCACAGCCAATGAATCATCTTTGAAACATGGTTATACCATTGTTATGTGGGCAAATTCAATTTGGCACACAGCAAGATCCCACAAATCAGCATTCTGCATTCACTGATGTTGATTGAGCCATGTTGGTCAACC